CTTGGTCCACATCGCTCTGTCTCCAAGCCAATCTGAGAATAGGCAGCGGCCCCCACCTCCCACCAGTATCCCACACATCTGCACCCAGGGTGTGCCCATCAGGGGCTCTCAGAGCACTTAGCACCTCCTGAGTTGTTTGAGCGTATCTCTATGTTTCTTTCTTTCTGTTCTTTAATCTTGGTTTGTTTTCTCATCGCAAGAGCATCAACTATTCCCAGAGGATAAAAAATCTCCCCTTCCCCCTGCCCAACTCTCTCCCTTTGGGGCTTGCAATTCCATTGGCGGGTGTTGATTGGTCACCTCCTGCATGTCTTGAGTGGAGGGGCCTTGGGATCAACCAGGAGAAGGAAGGCACCGTCTGCACCTGCCTCTGTCTCTCTTGCTTCCTATTCCTCCCCACCGGCTGCTCCTTTCTGCCTCTTGTTCATAGGAAATACTAGGATGTCTTTAAAGCAAAACCTTTCCTCCTTTTACCTTGATCTTCTCCGGGTCCAGCAGGGCTATGAACGGGCTAGGCTGGCAACATTCCCAGGCAAGGAGCAGTCCCTGCTGTGCTCTGCAATCCTCCCCGGGGCTGGGGCTGGGCTGGGGCTGTCGTTAATATCATCCTGTTGTCTACCTGGAGCTGCAAACCAGCCCCATGGATGGGTGTGGGCCTGGGAGGACAGCTGTGCCCGAGACCCACAGAGCTGCAATGGAGAAGGGCAAGACTCCACTCTGGCTGCCTCATGGGAAGCAGAACTGAGCCCACCCCTGCCAGGGGGCAGGGCGCAGGCACTGGCGGCAGTGCAGCCCCCAGGCTGGCAGCACTGGACACTGGTCCACAGACCCTAGGGAACCTGCCCTCTTGCCCCTCTCCTGGTGCCTGTGCCCTTCTCCCCAGTAATCCCTCCTGCAAGGAGGGCGGGCTCTGGGCAGGGAGCTTGTCTTGGATCTTAGGCCAGATTTCCCAGGTCCAGTCCTGGGGGACAGCCAGGACCCAGGACTGGCTGACATTTGCCAAGGGGGTTGGTAGGAGCTCAGGCCGGTGTCACTGATTTATTCTGCACCCGTCTGGAATTTGGCCTGGGCAGTGCAGGCTGTCTGTGTAGAAAGGGCAGGCTGAGTGGTCTAGGAGATTCCATTCTTTCTCAGCATCCACCCCTGCCCTGCCAAGCCCTATTTCTTTCTTTCTCTGTACCTTCCCTCCCCACTATCTGAGAGCCTTCAGGCACCTTTCCTGGGAGAGATGACAGAATAAAAGGCCACAGTGACCTGACCTGGGGTTGCTTCACAAAGCCACCTCCTCTGGCCTTCTCTCCCACTGGGTGGTCCTGGAACCTGTCCTGGGTGGAGTTCAAGCTAAGCTGGTCCACGGAGCAGGAGGGAGGAGCTCAATGTTGATACCTCATTAGCATATTCATCAGCAGTAATCAGGGACCCGCTGTGATAGAAAGCCCTCTTTGGGGCTTCCCTGCCTCTTGCTGGCTGGGGAAGGGGGTGAGGGGCTGGTCATGGCCTCCAGAAGAAAGGACTGCAGCCAGAGGGCGAGGAGAGGCAGGAGCAGAAGGATTGGGAAGGGGGACGTTCCTGGGGAAAGGATCATCTGCAGAAAGAACCTTTGGTAGGAAAGAAAAGGTATTAGTGCTTCCCCCACCCCCATGTTGATCAGGGGACAAGAAGACCCATCATTTCTGCCTCCTAAGTCAGCGTTTCTCTGGGCCACTGAGGCCCTGGGCAGGCTCTCAGTAGGAAGAACAATTTTCCTTTTCCTGGCCTGAGTGGTGGCTCACACCTGCAATCCTAGCACTCTGGGAGGCTGAGAGGGGAGAATCACTTGAGCTCAGGAGTTCAGGAGACCAGCCTGAGCAAAATCAAGACCCAGTCTCTACTAAAAATAGGAAAACTGGCTGGGTGTGGTGGTGTGTGCCTGTAGTCCCAGCTACTCGGGAGGCTGAGGCAGGAGGATCATTTCAGCCCAGGAGTTTGAGGTTGCATGAGCTAGGCTGATGCCACAGCACTCCCGCCTAGGTGACAGAGTGAGACTCCATCTCAAAAAAGAAATTAAAAAAAATATATTTTCCTTTTGTTATTAATGTATTTATTATAATCTATATGAGTAAAACAATAAAAGCAAGTCCCTCATGCCCATGACATCCCAGATATTACGGCTTAGCATGAAGCCAAGTAGAAGAGTAAATTGATTTAAAGTTATACGAAGAAAAATATTGACTAGTGATGAACATGGCAGCCATTGTCACGGTAACGTGCCCCTGATGGACATATGGGAAAGCTGGTCTAAATGGCTCCCAAGGCAGTTCTACCATCCCCATCCTCTCCCCTGCAACCCTGCAGCAGCCTCTCATTTGTCACCCACATTGCCCCCTCCACCACTCCATAGTGGTTTCTAAGCCTTACTTGGCTTCAGAACTTTCTAGTGGCCTTTAATCATGTTTCCCAAATTACATCCCTCAACAAAAGCGCTCTGTAGTCAAGTGAGCATGGTATATTAGTTATCTATTGCTGCATTAAAAAATGACTCCAAAACTCAGCAACTTCAAATACTAAACAATTATTATCTCACACAATTTCTGGGAGGTAGAAATCAGGGAGCAGCTTAGCTGGATGGTTCTAGCTTAGGGCCTCCCATGAGGCTTCAGTCAAGATGAGAGCTGCCTAGCATCATGGGAGGCCAACGCAGGAGGATCGCTTGAGGTCAGGAGTTTGAGACCAGCCTGAACAAGAGTGAGACCCCATCTCTACTAAAAATAGAAAAATTAGCCAGGCGTAGTGGCGTGCACCTGTAGTCCCACCTACTTGGCAGGCTGAGGCAGAAGGATCGCTTGAGCCCAGGAGTTTGAGGTTGCTGTGAGCCACGCTGATGCCACAGCACTCTAGCCT